CAACAACTGGTTTACACATAAAATATTCATAGATCAAGCAGAGTCATTTTTCTCAATTATAAATGATAAAAATGAGATATTCCAAGAAGTAAGTTTGAGATTTCATACAAGGAGAATGACACAAGGGAGGAAAGAAGAGGGGGTTCCTAGAAAAGGAAGTTTTTAGTCTAGTGCTTTGGGGTGGCCTTGGTGCTTGCTTATCTTCAAGAAAAGGTGTGTCTTTACTATCTCAACCTAGTAATCTCTCTTGAGCTTCAGTGTCCTGATTTCTTAAATGAGGATAATAAAAATTGCTTTTGATAACTTTGACAAATGATCCTTTGATAGAGTGGTGAAGATAAGAGCCAAGGGTGTTGGTTGGAAAGGGAATAGTAGGTGAGGAAATGGTGATTATCTATCTAAGTTGTCAATGTTTTTCAAAAATTGGTCTGGGAATATAGTGAAAGCTGGAAGACAATATTGGGGTAGTGAGAGTTTCGTTCTTGAAAAGTTGGGAAATACCATAGTTTGCCTGTACACTAGGGAGAAGCATCTCTAGTAGAAAGGGAGAGGATGATAATATAGGGGAAAATGGAGAGCTGGGTTCATCGTCGGTTCTAGGAAGGGAGATTTGTAGGGTTAGCTTTGGAAAGATGAGATGCTCTGTCCAATAGCTTTTATTTTGTCAGTGAAACACGAAGTGGGGATGTTTGCCAAGAGTTGTATGTACAAGTGTTGGGAATGAGGGGATCAGTTGGAGTACAGGAGGGAAGGTTAGAAAATTTGCGGGCATTTTTGAGCTGGTTCTAGAACCCAACTGAGCCTGAGCTGGCAGAATAAAGTCTCTCCTGACTGTGAAACTATTTCTAAATCCTCCCTCTCTATTTCTACTTCAGTAGCCTTCCTACTGTATTGTTTCTGTGCATTTCTAATATCCTCTGAGGTACTCTTCAGTTACATTGAGCTATCTACCCGGTCTCACCAAGTTATAGTTAAGATGTCCATTTGGTTAGCTTTGTGATTGCAAAATTGCAAAAGTTTTGAATAGTCTATGCCAAATTTCCCCCCTAGCTCTTATTTTTTGGTGTGAGATTTTTGAAGTGTGAGGTCTTTCAGGACTGACTGGATTGCCTTTTTCTCTATGTAAGGTCATTGTATTGGACTAAATGTTAATGCCCCCTCCCAAATTTATATGTGAAAACCCTATCCCCAAGGCAGGCTGGAGTCTTTGGAGGTAATTAGATCATGAGGATGGTGCCTTTGTGAATAGGATTAGTGCCCTCATGAAAAAAGGAAAAGAGCTAGCTTGGTCTTTTCCCAGCATATGAGGATACAATGAGAAGTTGAAAGTCTTCCACACTGAAGAACGTTCTCACCAGATCATGCGGCACCATGATCCCAGACTTCCAGCTTCTAGAACTATGAGAAATAAATGTTGATTCTTCTTTTTTAAAGATTTACTTATTTTTATACAAGAGCTGGGGTACAGGTCAGAAGCGCGGGAGGGTGAGAGGATTCACAAGAGGCAGAGCAGGGAGCAGAACAGGCAGATGACAGAAATACACTGCTGAGGGGAGCAGCAGGCATGACAGGAGAGGTCTGCTGCACCACGTGGGATTCTTGCCAGCCAGCCGGGATGGAACCCGCACTGCAGAGGCTGTGGGCAGCTTCACAGCATGGCGCTCAACCTGCTGCACTACCGGGGAGGCCCTAAATGTTGATTCTTTTAGCCATTCAGTCTGTGATAATTCAATTTGTGAACTAAGAGAGGCTTGGTCAGGTTTTTTTTTAAAAATATATTCTGTAATTTTATAACCCATTATTGTGGGTTAATTAGCCGTATATTACTGGCAGGTAAATAAATTATATTCCCTGATGCTGGGTCCTTTCAATGAAAGTCTTTATTCCCTCCCCATGTCAGAGTCTGGGTTTCTGGAAACAACGAACTCCGAAGAACCAAACTGCCATTGTATTTACTATGATTTCTACTCAAGGAAGGCATTTTTGGATTTTTTTTTTTATCATTCCTTGTATACCTATTTATATAGATAAGATAGTGCCTATCCCCTTAGAATTTAACAATTTAAGAAAAAACAGTATAGATGTTATAGTTGTGGAATATGCAAGCAAAAAGTGAAAAATTCAGTCGATTTTGTAGAATGTTTTAGAAAGTAGACCCATACGTTTGTTGTGCTTATACTATATACACCAAAGTGCATGTATGTAGCAGTAGAGAGAGGGGGACTTTAGTGCTTATGAGCAGTGACTATTACTTACCAAGGCTTAATTGTTTCTCATAGGAACTAATGATTACACAGATTGGCCTGATGTTGTCATAAATTTTCTTGAGGGACAGTATAGCCTAGATGTTAAGAGCCTGGACCCAGGTTGTCAGGATCTACCATTTCTAAGTTGTACAGTCTTGGAAACTTAAATCTTTTAGTGCCTGAATTTCCTCATAATTCAAAAAGAACCATGTTCTTTTTGCCAACATAGGATTGTTTTGTTGTCAACATAGGATTGTTTTGAGGATTATATCAAAAATATATGGATTATACCATAAGCACTCAAAATTTTATTGTTAGAAAAATAGGGACTATACGTACCTTCATAAGAAATGGACAGATTCAGCAGGTAGAAAATCAATAAGAACAGAGTTGAATACACCACTACCCATCAATCAACTAGATATAACTGACATTTATAAACACTTATTCTAACAGCAGCAGAACATATATTCTTCTCAAGCTCACATGAAATCTTCATCGAAACAGTCCATATTCTAACCATAAAATGCACCTAAACAAATTTTAAACAAATTTTAAAAGATAGAAATTATACAGTGTCTGCTCTCAGTCCATAAGGCAATTAAATTAGAAATCAATAACAGAAAGATGGCTGGAAAATCTCAAAATATTTGTATATTAAACAACATACTTATAAATTAAACATAGGTTAAATCTCAGGAAATTTTAAAAACTATATTTAAATGAAAATAAAATACAACTTATCAAAAGTTGTGTGATACAGAGTAAGAGGTGAATAAGAGATGCTTAGCATATACATATACTAGAAAAGAAAAAACATAAAATATTCAGTCATCTAAAATTCCACATCAGGAAACTAGAAAAAGAAAAGCAAACTAAATCTTAGAAAGCAGGAAAAAGATGCAATAATATAATGGGAATCAATGAAGTTGAAGATAATAGGAAACTAATAGAAAAAAGTAATGAAACCAAAAGCTACTCCTTTGAAAAGATAAAGTTGATAAACCTCTAACCAAGCCAACTAAGAAAAGATTATTAATATCAGAAATTAAAGAAGGGCATTATTTCAGATCCCTTGAACATTAGAAGTATAATAGAGGAATACTATGAACAACTCAATGCTCACAAATTTGGTAACCTGTGTAATGATCCAACTCCCTAAAAGTCATAAGCTCTCCAAAGCACAAAAGAAAGAGCTGATCTGGGGGGGAAAAAAAAAAACCAATATAATAATTACCTTCCAAAACAGAAAGCATTGAGCTCAGGTCCATGAATTTGGCAAAACATTTAAGAAAGAAGCTATACAAATTTTCTATAATAATCTTTCAGAGACTAGAAGCAGAATAAATACTTCCTAACTCATTTTTTAATGCCATTGTTGCCCTATGACCAAAAACCAGTCAGTCATTAAAAGAAAACTACACACAGGTGAATATCTCTCATGAACATAGATTCAAAACTTAACAAAATATTAGGTATATAAAGTATTATACTCCATTACCAAAGGGGATTTATCCCAGGAATGCAAGGCTGGTTCAATATTCAAATACAAGTTAATGTAATCCATTACATCAATAGGCTAAAAAAGAAAACTCGTGATCCTATCAAGAGTTGCAGAAATACATCTAACAAAATCTAAAACTCATTCATGATTAAAGCTCTCAGTAAACAAAGGGGTTTCCTCAACTTAAAAAGGAATATCTGCAAAAAGATTACAGCAGTTGTATGTAATGGTGACAAAGTAGAAGCTTTGCCACTAAAATCAGAAACAAGGTAATGATGTCCCATTCATCATTCCTTTGCAGCTGAAATCCTAGCTAATGCAGTAAGACAAGATAAGGAAATAAAAGGTATACAGATTGGGTAGGAAGGAATAAATTTTTGTTCACAGATGACGTAATTATGTCAAAAATCCAAAAGAATCAACAACAGGAAAACCCACCAGAATGTGATTATTGCAGGATTGTAGGATTGTTAGGTAAACATAGGAAACTCAATTGTTTTCCTTTATGCCAGCAGAGAATAAGTGGAATGTGAAATTAAAAACACCTTCCCCTCAAATTTACTATGGATGAAAGTTAAGTCTTTTAAAATATATATATTAAAACTCTACAGTCTGTGAGTTCAGGTGATACTTTTAGCTTATCTTTTACCTTTTGATTTTTGAAATGAGTCTCTGAGGAAAACAGTGAGAGAAAACTTCTGCCCTAGAGCTTAAACTAAAACTTACTTGTTCTTTAATACAGAAAAATGGAACTCTTTAATCATGATTTGACATATAACTAGCTATATGTCTCTCTTACACAAAAGTAAAATATTTACTGTTCACAAGTGAATGTTGTTTTACTATTAAAATAGATATGTGGGCAGTTAGGATAGAAGGGGCATGTGGGGAAGGGAAAGAGATGGGTGTGCTATAAAGGGGCAACATGGGAGAGCTGTGCTGATGGAACAGTACAGTATCTTGATTGTGGTGGTGGATAATGTAAGCTTAATAAGAGATAAAGTTCTATAGAACTAAATATATACACATACAAGTACAATCTCAAAAGACTAGTGGATTGTGTTACTATAATGTGCTGACTGTGATAGTTTACTTTTGTGAAATGTTACCATTGGGGGAAACTGTGTGAAGGGTAATCATGATGTCCTTCAAGACCACATATGAATCTGCAATCATCTCAATAAGATTATAATTAAAAAATGCATGTGTGGCTAATATATAAAACTAATAATTGTTAATTTTGTTTTTAGGTTGTTGCCACCTGACAACACCGTCACCATTGACTTTGTAAGTTGATATTTTAATTTTTTTATCCTTCATTCCAAAGGAATTATATTTTCTAATTACATGAGTGTATTTTTCTGTATATATTTTTTGATTGCTGAGTAATATTCCATTGTGTATCTATACCACATTTTCTTGATCCAGTTATCTGTTTTTGGGCATTTGGGTTGTTTCCAGGTTTTACCTATTGTAAATAGTGCTGCAATAAACATAGGGGTACAGGTGTTCTTTTGAATCAGTGTAACCTGGTGTAAAAAATTGGAGTAAAATTTGTAAGTTACTTGGGTTTTGTATTATTTTGAAATGTTTCACTTTTTTGATACCACTAGGTGATAGATATTTTGAGGAAGTTTGAATTACACATCTTGATTAAGTACATCTATTTCTTTGGCATCACTTCCTCTCAGGATTATGTATAGAAGTAGCAAAATGCCATCTGTGGGGCTGATGTGTATACTTCTATCTCTTCTTGTACCACACTGGTGCAAATCTTTATATATTTTTTTAATTAAAATAACCTAGCTGGTCTCCCTGCTTCTATACTTTCTCCCCTATAATCCATTCTTCAAGTAGCTGCCAGGTAAGTTATTTAAAACTCTGAGTCTGATCATGTTACTTTCTGCAGTGGCTCCCATGCCTCTCTTTACAGAGGTTTACCAGCTCCTCCATGATATGAGCCCCTGTTACCTCTGACCTAATATTTTATTCTCCCCCTTACTGCTTCAGTCATACCAATATTCTTGCTCCTACATTCAGGTTTTGGCATGGATGTTCCCAACAACAGCCACATGACACATTGCTTCCTTACCTCAAGATCTTTGCTAAGTTGTCATCTCCTTGCCCAGACCACCTATTTCAAATTACCTTTGTTTCCCCCTGCCCTGTCTTCCCTGCACTGCATATCTTGTCATTAATTTTTTAGTCACTCCCTGATACGTATTTTACTTATATGTCTCCTCTTCATTCTGTGATAAATTCCATGAGGATAGGAATTTTTATGTGTTCTGTTCATAAAGATGGGGAAGCAGGATGCGGGAGGATTTTGTATTGCATTTGAAGGAACTGGAACTTTCATACTGAGGGATCTTCACTTCCAGCTACAATCTAGTTCAGAGGAATTAGATGTATTCTCCTGCCTTAAACAGAAGAGACACACACACACACACACACACACAATATATGAAACAGGTTTTTAGACATTGCACAACAAACAGCACAAAATAGTGAGCCCTGAAAGAAGGTAAAGAAATGATTTTCCCATGTAAGAGAACTAATCAAGACTGGGAAAGAGCTACCGGAAAGGAAAATTTAGCTCATAGAGGGCTCGTAAATGTGTTCCCATCATTCACAATGGAAAATCTAGTAATATAAGTGGCATTAGAGTATTTAAAAGGGCATTGCCCTCAATAGTGAGGCAAAATTAGCCCAAAACTAAAGGCTCCCTGATCTTGCCTAAAAATATATTAAAAGTAACCTATTAAAGAAGATCATGAAATTTTTTTGTAAAAATTTGGAAAATAGTTTAGGCTTTGTTGGCCATCAGATTTCTGTTGTAACTATTCAGCTCTGCCATTATAATGTTAAAACAACCATAGCAATATGCAGATTAATGGAGGTAGTGGTGTTACAGCAAAACTTTATTTATAAAATGGGCAGGGGACCACATTTAGCCTGTGGGCCACAGTTTACAGATTCCTAGTTTAAAGTACTTAATTGTTTCTAGTAGCTTAATTATATCCCATAAAATAAAGTTCAAGAATATTTAAAGAAATACAAAATATTCAGCACCTAACAAGGTAAACAATGTAATATTCAATTGACATCAGATATGCATAGAAATAGGAAAATTATGTAGTCAGAAGAAAAATGGGTCAATAGAAAGAGGTTCAGCAATGACAGATTTTATAAAGATATTAATAAACAAATTTAATTAGCAGATTTAATTTAATCACTAATTACATTTTAATAAGTATTTTACTAGGCAAAAATATTAAAAATTGTAACTTTGTTTCATATGTTCAAGCTTGTAGAGGAAAGCATAGCTTGTTATGGAAAGACATAGAAGATATAAAAAGACTCATATTGATCTTCTAGAGACAACCTAAACATCTGAGATAAAAATTGCACTGGGTTGGATTAATAACAGTTGAGACATTGTGAAAAGAAAAATTAATGTACTTGAAGACATAGTAGTAAGAATGATATAATACAAAACATTGGGTTAAAAACCCAGTCAATCATTGAGCTATGGGACAGCTTTAGACTGCCAAAATTATATATAATTAGAGTGTCTAATGGAGAGCAGGAACAGAAACTATACTTGAAGAAATAATGGCTGACAATTTGCCAAATTTGATAAAAAGAATAGAGAAATCTAAGACACTTAAATGTCAGGGAAGTACACAAAAAGATGAGGAAAATCATAACTACACACACAACCAAATAGTTTAAGACCAGTAATAAAAAGAAAATATTTCAAAGCAGATGGAGGAAAAAAGACCCTCTATATTAAAGAATGACAGCAGAGTTCTCATAAAAAGCAGTGTAAGCCAGAAGATAGTGGAGCAACATCTTTTAAGAACTAAATGAACACTGTCAACTTATATAATTAGTTAAAAGATATTTTAAAAGAGAAAGTGAAATAAAGACTTTCAGGCATGCAAAAGTTGAAAGTATTCATCTTCACTATACCCACACTGCAAGGAATAATAAAGAAAACCCTTGAGAAAGCAGGAAAATAATACCATATGGAAATAAAAAGCAGTGGAAATGGCAAATACCTGGGTAAATGTGTAAGATTTCTAACTTAAATTTTTTTAAGATAATTGATTGCTTAAACAAAAATAGTAACAACACTGTATGGTTTTTAGCATGTACAGCACTAATAACACAAAGTCAGGAGGGGAAAATTGAAATATATGTTTTCATACTATTTGTAAAATGGTATAATAAACACTAAAAGATGCATGATGATAAGTTAAAGATATAACTTTAAACTCAAAATCAACCACTAAAATATAAGAGACTTATAGGTCAAAGGAGATGTAAATTGGGAAAAAATATCAATTCAAAAGAAAGTAGAAACAAAAAGAAAATGGAAATAGAGAATAGATGGGACAATGTGGTACATTCAGCCAAACTATGTCAATGATCACATCAAGTATAAATGGTCTAAATACTCTTAAGTAAAAGACAAAGATGTCAAATTAGACTTAAGCAATAAAACAAGATCTCTTTGCTGCCTATGAAAAGCATGCTTTCTGTTTATAAAGGCACAAGTAGATTATAAACAGAAGGATGAAAAATTATATACATTTTATCACCATTTGTTTTTACAAATCCTGGAATGACCACATTAATCTCACAGTAGAAATTAGCCCAAATATTACTAGGTATTACAAGAATTTTTCATAAAAATAAAGTGGTAAATTCATCCATTTAGTTGCCTGCACTTAATAAGAGTTTAAGTATACACAAGGAAGGGCATACAAATCCACAATTATGGTCATATTTCAATGCCCTTCTTTCAGTGAATAATAGATCAAATAGATAGGAAATCAGTAATGATATAGAAGACTTGAACAGCACTATCAGCCAACTTGATCTAATAAACATTTATAGAACACTCAAGCCATCAAAAGTAGTGCACCCAGATCATTTCTTAAGATGGACTTTTTTGAATAAGAAAACAATTTAAAATGATTTAAATCACACACCAAAAAATACCTGTTGCCCACAATGGAATTAAACTAGAACAGAAGGATATCAGGAAAGATATCTTGTTACTGAATGACACACTTCCAAATTACCTAGGGATACATTCCAGACCATACAAAATGCCTTGAATTTGAAAGACAAGTAATCATACAAAATACCTTCTCAGGCTCTTAACAGATTAAACTAGGAATCAATAGGGAAAGATAGATGGAAGATTGTCAAATTTTTGGAAATTAGTAACACTTGATTAACTCATGGGCCAACAAAAAAGATTCACATAAAATTTTAAAATTTAAACTAAATGAAAATGAGAATTCAGTTTATAAAAATATTCAGGGTGTAGCTAAAACTGCTTAGAGGAAAATTTATAGCATTATATACATATATTAGGAAAAAACCTGAAATCAGTAACCTGTTTCTACTTTATAAAACTAGATTTGAAGAACAAATTAAACTCAAAGCAAGGCAAAGAAAGTAAACCTAAAAATTAGAGAAAATAGCAAAATTGAAAATAGGAAAATGAGAATATCTACAAAATGAAAAGCTTTTCTTTGAAAAGCTCAGTAATAAACCTCTAGCCAGCTGACCAAGGGAGGAAAAAGATATAAGTTGTCCATTTCAGGGATGAAAGTGGGGCCATAACACTGATTTCATGGATATTACAAGCATAATGATGGAAGCAACTTCAGCCCAAAAGTTTGATAACTTAGATAAAATGGGCCAATTCCCAGCAAATACAAATTACTAATATTCAAAGAGAAATGGATGACCTGAACAGTCTTACATCTCTTAAAGAAATCTAATTAGTAGTTAAAAAAAAAAACCCTTCCAGAAAAGAAAACCCTAAATGTTTGCACTGGGAAATTTTACCAAATTACCAAATAACCTATGTGACAAAAAAGGAAATGAAAAAGGAATTAGAAAGTATTTTAAACTGAAAGAAAGTGAAAACATATTTCTACATAATTAGGGTGCTAGGATAGCTGTGTTTACTGGGATATCTACAGTACTTTATGCCTGTGGTAGAACAGCCTCAAATTAATGGCTCAATGTAAGAGATGGTGAAAATTGCATGTCTTTTATTTAAAAATGTATCGTGTTGGAGAGGACAGTGGGAGGTGGTTATAAAGAAGCCAATTCTTAGTTCTTCATTGGAAGGAAACCAGCTATACGCGAGGTTTCTTTAGTGAGCCCTAGATATTCTTTTTTTTTTTTAAAGATTTATTTATTTATTCATACAAGAACTGGGGTACAGGCCAGATGGGCAGGAGGGTGAGAGGATTCAC